GGCTTTACAAAACTCTCGGAATTCAGCACACTCGGAGCTGAATTGTGGAGCATTATCCGCCTTCAGAATTGAAGGTATTCCGAATCTACTGAATATGATCGATAGCTCTCTGTACGTCACTCGTGGTCGTACTCTCCATCTCGATGACCTCCATAAAACGGCTGTAACAATCAATAACAACCAGCAGATATTGTCCTTCTGGAAGTGGACCAAGAAAATCAAGACCATGATTTCGTTCACCATGATTTCCTCCGATATATCGAATGGAGTAGGATTTTCCTTTGCCAGAATAGAGAGTGTATCGGCAATGTTGTCTTTTCCTGCTACATGGATAACCTCGTAATCAAAAGTCTGCAGCCTTAGAACCCAACGTTCTATACGTGCGCAAGGCTTCGAACGTACGGAAAACAAAAACTTCAGTGCTAAACAATCCGTGAAGATCTGAAACTTCTTTCCCAAAAGATAATACCGGAATCTTTCAATGCTCCACACGATAGCTAAGGCCTCCTTTTCCGTTTGACAATACCGTCGTTCTGTTTCAGTTAAGGACTTCGATGCGAAGCTAATTATACGGTGACGGTTTTCACAATCAAATTGAACTAGTATCGCTCCTAGCCCAGAAGGGCTGGCGTCGGCTATTACAGCCGTGCGATCTTCAACCTTGTAAAATCCCAAGTATCCGATTCTACTCATAGCTGCTTTAATCGCCTGCAATGAACAAGATTGCTCGTCTGTCCATAAAAACTTTGCTTCTTTAATTAGAAAGCGTCTTAATGGCTCATCCAATGTGGCCAGATTTGGGATAAATTTGTTGAGGTAGTTTACCAACCCAAGAAAACTTCGAACTTCGGCTTCATTTTGAGGTTCTCCGAAGGACAAAATAGCTTGGATTTTCGATTCGGCTGGTCTGATTCCGCTATGGGAGATTATGTGCCCCAGAAACTCTAATTCTGTTACCCTGAACAAACATTTGTCACAATTTAGCTCAACCGATCCCTCTTTAAATCGTAATAGTACCTGAAATAATTCAATTCATATTCATTCAAAGGAAATATTTATTCATTAAAACAAGCAAGACAAATAAAACTAATTCAAAAGTTCGACAAATTAAAAAAAAAAACTATGCTACCTTATCCAAGCGTTCGTCGTGTTCCTTGAATCTTTTCCTTCGATGATGACATCGTGCAAATACCAGTAAGTTCCATCGCAGCTTAGTAAAATCTCGTCCATGGCCTTTTGGAACAGTTCTGGCGCGGTCACAAGGCCGAATGGTAGACGGGTAAAGCGGAACAACCCCCGATTCGTGATGAACGTAGTGGCATCACGTGACTCCTCCGCCAACTCGATTTGTAGGAATGCCTCCCTTATGTCTAATTTGCTCCAAATTCCTCCTTTTCCCAAGCGCATGATGTAGTCATCGACAATCGGCATGGGATGATGCTCCCTCAAGACAGCCTCATTGACTCGACGAAGGTCAAGACAGAGACGCGGCTCGCCATTTTTCTTACCGACAACCACTAACGGAGACACCCAGCTAGTGGGCCCGGACTTGACCTCAATAATGTCGCGCTGTAACAGTTGATCCATTTTTCGGTTGACAGCTTCTTCAAGAGGAATTGGAATCCTTCTCATCGGTTGGAATACTGGAACTGCATTTGGGTCCATGTGAATATGAGCCTTTATGCCTTTTATTTTAGTGAACGGCTTCAATGAATCGATCATTCGGTTGACCTGTATCCCCACACGTAGGACACCTAGCTCTTTAGCAGTGACGTCACCCAACAAGCAACGCTGGCCACCTTTCACAACAAGAAACTCTGCACGGACTTCACGTTAACCTACAGCTATGAGTGATACGAACGATCCCAAGATACTTAAAGGTTTATCAGTACCGTATGCTTTTAAGATTCGAGAGGATCCCTTTGTGGAAGAGGATACTGTGACATTGTGTGACTTGAGGTCAGTCCACGCGTCATCGCTTATCAAATTAGCGTCTGCACCCGAGTCAACGAGCATTTCCAGCTTCACACCTCGAACAACACATTCGATAACATTGGCCTCATTTCCAGAATAAAACGCGTAGTACACTTTATCCTGTTCACCATTTCCAAAATTTTTGCCTTCTGAGGTACATGCTTCTTCCAATTTTGTCACCACGCGAATTTGTGTTCCTGCCGATCCTTTGGAATCGTTACGCTTACGCTTTCGGCACATCTTCTCGAAGTGTCCATGGTTGCTGCAATTTCGGTACTACTTGTTGCGAGCAGGGCATGCCATCGATGCCGAAACGTGACCCTTGCGTCCGCAGTTGTAGCAAACTAAAGCCGGCCTAATGAGCGATTTATTGCTGTGCTTTGGGTCTGGTGTCGACTGCCCTACCTTGTAAATCTTCTCTGGTGGTTTCGACGAAACAATTTCCTCCACCTGTTGATCAACTCTCTCTTGCGATATACCAAGTGCTTCAATCTCAGCAAACGGTAAATCTTTCAACAGAATCCTTCTGCGAACCTCATTCGAAGTGCATCCTTCGACCATAGCGTCCGTCAAGTAGATCACTGTGAGTATCTGAGCTAGTTCCGTTTCGTACTTCTCAAATCCACATTCTGTGGCCTGTTGTTTCAAACGGATGACATAATCAGCAAACCGCTCGTTTGACTTTTGCTTCATTTGTCGCAACTTCCTACGCTCAGATGTGCTCTAATGTCTTGGTCCAAAAAAATTCATCCAATCTTTCAACGGCGGCATCGAACCCCCAGTTGAGCGCTACCACCGGTACGTGGTCATAGTCCTTGAGATTTCTGAATACAGTTTGAAGAGCAGGACCGCCTAAGTGAAGCAGCTTTGCTCGCATGACCTTCTGGTCTGTAATTCCGTAAGCTGCAAAGTAGCACTCAAGTGACTCCTTCCACGCTTGCCATTGTTTGGCCAGTTTACTCGTCTCAATTTGGTTGCATCGAAACGGAGGAATAGGGCGTATTTCCTCCATCTGCAATAAAACCAATTGTTTGCGTTAACCACAACTCAACAAGTGAATACCTAGTGTTCATCTTGGATATAAATTACATTTATTTAACCACGGATTTCATTTCATACGAACACTCGAACGAGAACAACATTGAGTTTAACGGTTGGCACAATCTTGCCCATGACTGCTTTTCCGAATAAAACTAGGACTAGGACTTTCGCCAGATCCGTCAGGATGTACATATGTGTTACATACGCAGAAAATTAAAAAATTCTACTTTTACAACAGTTGATCTTCATCAATTCCAAGAGAATGCTTAACATTCTCTAACAAACAAGGAGAATTCCGGAAATTCTCGCTTCTCTGGGAAGGTCCAATTGACCTTCGCCACCTCCAAGAGAATGCTACTGATTCTCGACCCATTAAGCAGAATTCCGAAAATTCTCGCTTCTGTATCTGTTCATCGGATATGGTTCATCATTTTATAGATTATACGATCAAAAACAAAATCATAACCTAAAAACCACACCACAGAATTTCTCACGTCACTCGCGAAACTGCTCTAATAACAGTGTTCCAAGCTTAGCGCTACACCCTGGCAGACCGAAACCGCATGAAAACAGAAAAAGAACGGGCACTATTATGGATGATTTATTTTCCTGGTTCGAAGATCATCCATAAATCTGTCGGTGTTATTTACCTTCCGCGTGCGTTTCTCCACCACCAAGTCGCCAATTGTAGAATTCGTGCCCTGGTCTCCTGGATGTTGTCCCGTCGTATTCTCCAGTCTCAGTGGCCTCCGTCCGTGCTCTTCCTCTCGTACGTTCAATCCCCTCTCCTCCTCTACCTTCGTCCGTTCCTCTCACTCCAAGAGCAAGGTCCCTTCCTCATAGGTGAGTATGGTTTACCTCTCTCTTTGGAGGTGAGCAATGTTGTATTAACAGGGTATGGTCAATACACTACATATCCGACACGGCACTGCTCGGATTGTAAGGCAGGTGAAGAGCGCTACCCATCGTTTACCGTTGCTGCGTCCAACTTTCACCAGCAATGGTCCAAAGAAGTCCAGTTCGACGTATGTGAAGGGTCTAGCGAAAGAAGCTAGACGAGCTGGAGGAAGTGAGGCCATGTATCCATTGACAATTTTCCGGACCAGTATCCTGAGTCGAGGCATATAATACCGCTGCTGTATTTCGTGTACAACAGTCTCCGAATTGGCGTGTTGGAACTTCCGATGATAGGCGTTCACGATGAGAGCTGTCATCCGATGCTGCTTGGGAAGGATAGATGGAAACTTCGCCTCAGTGCACACATGTTTGGCAGCTCCTATCCGTCTGTCCACGCGTAGAAGGCCGGTTTCGTCGACAAATGGCGTCAGTTGGTACAACGCGCTGCGTTTGAGTACTCCTTCTCGCTCAGTTATTGGTCGTTCGCGTTCGTGCGTTAGCACAACCAGTTCAGCTCTATAGTGTGCCTGTTACGCCATACCAACCAACGTCACTTCTGCCCGCCGTAGTTCTTCCCCAGACAACCAGAATGCACGTATATTCAGAATTGTTTTCGTGATATACAAACATATATACAAACAAACAATTCGTATAGAATGCAAATAAATGGCTTATACGTACAAAAGTGGAGGCCATATACGGGCATATTTTAATTTAATTTTAAACGAGTTGATTTAACATCATATACGATTTAATCTGTAATAACAAATTCATTTTAAAAAGTCTTACGATGCAATCCGATTTAATTTGTGATACAGTACGACGGAAAAATGAATCATCGCATATAGGTCGGAAATTTACATTCTATACGATTTAACTTAAACATAATGCGAAATATGCCATTCTTATATGCGATTTTGGCTTAAACTGTAGCAATTTACGATACTCTATGTACATTGTTATACGACTTCTGGTTGTCTAGGTCTTGAGTAACGTATCTGCTTTGCCTCGTTTCGCCGTAAACCGTCCGTTTCAGGTTGCCCACATATCTGTGTACGTAGGCCGTAGCTCGCAATAAACGCTCCCACTTAGAGAAGCGTTCGCAGTCGATCACTGACTTCTTCTACAAGAATGTTGCAGACGCGTAACTTCTCCTCGACGGTCTGTTGAGGCATATTCTGCTTCGGCCACTCTTCTTCAGATCTGTGCAGGAATGGTAGTCCCTTGAACCAGGCACCTTCCACGTCCAGAGATGGACCGCTTCCCCACTTAGTTGCATAATCCTCGGGGTTCTGCTTTGACGGTACCCACCGCCACTCGTTCGTGTCGGTATGTTCCAGGATTTTACCAATCCGACAGGCCACGTACTGTTTGAACTTGCGGGGATCCACTCTTAGCCACGCCAGGACCGTTGTAGAGTCTGACCAGAAGTATCGCTTCGTTACCGTGAAGGAATGGGACTCCAGTATGGAACACATCACACCGAGGGATCGACAGATGCTTCAGAGGCGCTACCTTCGTTTTCGCTGTTACCAAAGAACACCGCGGAGTGCCATCCGCGTCGATGATCCGAAAATAAGCGACGACCGCTTACGCAGCTTCGCTCGCGTCCACGAACACGTGTAATTGAAGCTGATGGTAGGTCTGAGGCGTAGCGATCGGGAAATAGCAGCGAGGAATTCGCACACTTGAAATCTGCTGCAGTAGGATAGTTCAGCTTCGCCAACGTTCCCAGTGCTCCTCGTTGACTTCTTGGTCTCACTGGATTCCGGCGCGCCATATGTCCTGCAGCAGGATTTTTCCTTGAACCAGGAGGAAGCTCAATAATCCCAATGCATCAAAGACACTCATGAGACACCGCAGAACTTGCCTTTTCGTGGGCCGTCATTCGCTGATCATGATTTGACGGACGTCGTCCTTGAGGTGAACGCAGTAGCTCAGCGCGTCCTCCTCCGTAAGCCACACCATGCCTAATACTCGCCCATATTCTGTACTCTTCTCCAGAAAGAGGTGCCGGTTACCGGCCTCCATTGTTTCTCCTAGCTGTTGCTTCACGAATGCGCTGTTGGATTGCGAGTTGCGCAGCAGGAAACCACCTTTACTGTGGATTGCACTAACCTGTTCGGCTATCTCCGTTGCTTCCTCTTCCGTGCCAAAGCTATCCAGGTAGTCATCCACGTAGTGGTTGGAAATGATACCTTTCCCAGCCCTTCGATACTCTTCGATGAACTCTGCAGCATTTTTGTTCTTGACGAACTGCGCCGATGCTGGCGAACATGTTGCCCCAAATGTAGCAACGTCCATCATAAATATGATTGGTGGACTCGAAGGATCAGCCCGAAACAGAAATCGCAGGGAATGACGATCTAGTCCACGAATCTTTAACTGGTGAAGCATGTACTTAATATCAGCGGAGACGGCCACCGAATATTGTTGGAAACGTTCACCACCGCTCCTAGTGGCAGGTACCAGACCCGCCTCGGATCGGCTGCTCGTAATTCCTCCTCGCTGGCACGATGCGCATATCCTTTCTGTTGATAGTCTTCAATTTGACGGTGCAGGTTCTCCTTCAACGTAGGATTCTTCTCCATTCGATGCTCCAAGCACTCCAGTCTTCGCAAGGCCATTCCGTAGCTATCAGGAAATTCAATATCGTCATATCTCCACAGCAATCCGGTCTCGTACCTATCACCAACGCGTACGGCGGTTTGCTCCAGGATTTGCTGAGCTCGTCGGTCGTCCGCCGACATCGATTCCGCCCCTGGTTTCGCTCTGACCTCTTCCAGTGTGAAACAATCTTTCACCAGTTCGTGAAGATCCCGGTCGCAATCGCACGCATGGAAATTGAGTGTATGCGACGAGCGTTCACTACTTTCTCCGTACACACACCAGCCAAGCCGAGTTTTCACCGCAACCGGTTCGTTCGTCTGCCCTTCCTTCACTTTCAGCGGAACAGTGAGCCGCAGATTATTGACTCCTATCAGCAATCAAGGAACCGCATTCTCATAACCGGAAGTCGGTAAACCTTTAAGATGTGTAAACTTGCTAACGATTTCGTTAACCCGCAGGGTCTGCTCCGGCAGAGCAAGCTTCTTCACGATGCACTTGATACCACCAAATCCAGCTTTCTAGAGTCCGCTTCCATCCTGGAGACATTACCCGTCCAAGTCAGGCACAGGGGAGTAGTTTTTCCACCTACACCGAGATTGTTGGCCAGCTCGTCTTCAATGAGGGTGAGGGACGACCCATCATCCAGAAAGGCGTACGATTTAACCGTCCCTCTAGGCCCGTACAGTGTAACCGGAATACCTCGATAAAGCAGTGATTGATCCGAAAGTCGATGCGTATGGTTCCCCACCAATTCAACATTTGGTGCCGCCGTTTCACGGTTGATTGCTCCGGTTGGAATGAAGCAGAGGGTGATGCGGAAACGTGCGTCCCTTGATTCCACATTGGACTGCATTGCGACAACTCCGTCTTCCGTGTGCATTTAAGCAGCTACGGCAGAGTTCGTTAGTCTGTCGATGGAGAGCGCTTTAAAGCTTTCGCAATCCCGAAATCGATGTTCACGGCCTTTACAAACGCAGCATGGCTTGTTTTCACCCTTCGGGGGCTCCGGATTATTAACGTGTGTGTTGATCGTCCCCTTGTTCTTCATCCCCTTGGCTTCTCCATGTTCGCAGCTTTCCCGAATCCTCCTGTGCACTGCGTTACCTTGCTGGCTGACACCACCATGCCATTCATGAACTCCCCGAAGGGCTTGAAGTTCACCACCGGGTACCGCTGCATGAAATTTGCCCACTCCATCTTCACGTGGGCAACTTTTCCACCAACTCCATTAGCAGACACGGGTTCGTTAGGTGAGCTTGTTGACCCTCCGCTTCCAGGTGGTCACACAAACATTGCACCGCCATCCCAAACTCGACCAGTGTTTCGAGTCACTCTGCCTTGGGCGCTGGGGTTGACCGCACCTTGTCCAACAGCACAATGATAAACAGTTCCGGACGTCCGTAGAGAAGTTGAAGAGTGTTGATGGCTTGTGGCACCGATTCAGGGAGTAGGAGACGGCTTCTAACAGCTTCGTAGGCAGCACCTTTCAAGCACCGCTGCAACCTTGACAGATTTTCTACACTGGAGTATCCACACGCGGCGGTTGTATTTGCGAACGCACTAATGAAGATCGGCCAGTCAGCGGGGTTACCGGCGAAAGGGGGTAAATGTCGGTACATATGTCGGGGGGTACATAGGGTGCCGGAAAAGTGAGGGGCACACCTGGGGCGGGAATAGTAGGACCCATAGTTGGAGGCAACTCAGTTCGGTTCCTTCCCAAAGGTAAAGAGGGAGGAACTGTAGGGGCGGGATGGCCTAAGAGAGCAGGCTCAGTCCCAATGAATCTTGACGGATTCGAATTGACGATAGTCGGACTAATCCCAACTTTGGCTAGCATATCTTCATAATAATTGCTCGGTTGAGCGGAACATTTATCGTTCGCAATGGGAAAAAGTGGTGGCTTACCTGGTGGCAGTACGGGGGCACAGAGGGGATAGGGTTACCTACAACTGTCGTCATACGACCCTCGACTCGCTAATCCGGAACTGTCTTGGGAATCGCGTCTGTGTTTCGCTGCTGATTCCAAAAAAGCTTCGACCGTTCCGCTAAGGTTTCCCGTCGTTGTTTCTGCTGCGCCGGATTGTGATCCATCGACGATAATGTCACCTTTTCGTGCTCCTTCGGTCGGTTGGCCACTGTCTGACACCCCGTTGCCGGACATCGGACTTCGGTATTTCTCCTACGGCTTCCTCACCTGGCGTGATTTCCGAGAAATGCTGTTGCACCCATTGTGTCACACGTTGTTGACTCGCTCGTCGACTTACCCGGCTGCGGTTGCTTTGGTTTTCCCGTTCTTCGTCCAACTGTTCCTCTAGCAGGGTATATTTCTCCTGCATGAGCCTCTTCTCCTTCTCGATGGCCCGTTTCTCGGCTTCCAAGGCGCGCTTCTCCTGCTGGATGGCCCGTTTCTCGGCTTCCAAGGCGCGCTTCTCCTGCTCGATGGCCCGTTTCTCGGCTTCCAAGGCGAGCTGCTGAATCGCGCGCTCCTCCTCCAGCTTCTGCAGCTTCAGGGCAATTTGAGCTGACCGGTTGGTTGACTTAGTGTTGAAACTCAACGGCCAGAAATTATGGCATGTCCATGCCCGCTCGGCAACCGAATCCGTCGCCCCCGCACAACTTATGTTGTAGTATATTAGTCATACCTTTACCAAAAAACCTTTGTGTCTAAGAAAATAGGACTACCTTTGGGTTAAGCTACCTTGGCCTTGATAAGGTGTGGTAGTGAAAGCATAGACGAGAACGGGCAGAGAGAGATAGAGAGGGCATTCAAGTAACGACCAGCTAGCAAGGAGGCCGCGATACTACAACCTGGCGACTTGGTGGGATTAATTTTCAAAGAAAATGGTAAGCATAATGCTGAGTTGTGAAAAATATACAATGCTGAAATATTTGACTGTCGGTGAAACTCGTGCTGAATGTTAAATAATAAAGAAAACACGGAGACGATTGTCCAATCATGGAATTTCGGACAAAGGAAAATGTTGCTACGGCAGTGGCGTGATTTAGCAAATTCCAAGAATTTGCCTCGCAGCACCATGGTTGAGAAATGGTCAGAAAAAAAATGTTATTGAATCGGAGGATAGCGGAAATCATTAGGATTTCCCTGAAATTTTGCGAAAACCAGTAAGGGTTTTCCTTGAAACGACAGAATTTATGTAGGTTTGTTGGAAAATAGGCGAAAATCTGAGAGATTTTCCACGTGGAGGTTAAAACTGAAGAGGTTAACTTTGGAGTGGCGAAAATCGAGAGGATTTTCCCTTGCGAGATCAGAAAGCGAAAATTATGTGAATTTTCCATGCATAATGAAATCGGGAGAGATTTTCAATGGAAACAGAGCTTGAGGTAGTAGTAAGTTGAGAGGAGCAGTGTTTTTTGAAAAAAAAAAAGAAGAAATCGGTGCGTAGACATTGTGCAGAGACGCTAAGTGAAATTTTGTGTTTGTTTCCATTTCAGATGGAAGAATCACGTCCGGTACCACCTTTCAGGTGCAACCAGATTGAAACAAGCAAGTTGGCAAAAGAATGGAGATCCTGAAAATAATCGCTGGAATGCTATTTCGCAGTGTATGGTATTACGGACCAGCAAATGATGAGGGCTAAGTTACTGCATCTAGGCGGACCAGCGTTACAAACCGTTTTCAAGAATTTGAAGGATCGTGACCAGATGCCGATAGTCTCGCTCGTTCCGAAATGGTACGATGTAGCAGTCGAAAAGCTCGACGAGTTTTTTGAGCCTCGTCACCAAACGACGTCGGAGCGCCGCAAGCTACGACAGCTAAGACAAAAATCCGGTGAGAGATTTGCCGATTTCATCATTCGGTTGAAGCAGCAAGTTTCTGAATGCGGTTTCGAACGATATGGAAGGGAGA